AACAACACATCATTCTTAGCCTGAGATTCAGCCAAGCATGGAAGGTAAAATTTTCCTTCTTTTAGCCACCTGCATCTCTTTTTGCCGAAAACAGCTTTTAGACATTACATTAGATGTGTATTTCTGGGATTTTAAAAACCCAAGTCTGTTACATTTTGGACAGAGTACCACTCAAAATTTCACCGACACCAGTGATCTATATTTAGACAGCCCTTAAGTGAAAATTTATTTATTATTTTTAGCCTATTTTTGGGGTGGTCCATAGATAGGGTTCATAGGGGTAGTCCGTGGACACCTATAGCACTTGAGGGTTGGTGCTGACCAGGGATCAGTGTTTTCTGGGTTAACCCAGGTTTTCATATGCCACCGACATACCTGGGACATAGCCGCAGGCACAGCCTGGGACACCAATACCGCACATGTGAAAATTTATCGCCAAATTGTAATCTGTCCCAGGCAATGACCGCCGGCTTGCCAGCAAAGTTGAGCTGCGTTCAAGCTGGTGGTTGTCAGCGGTTGTCGGTGATGAAAATATTTTATGTGAACTTCATCTGTGGACGCAATGAATGACGTAACAACTCGATTTTTCCCACAATTCCATATTTACTGATGTAATGGTTGAAAATTGTGCAAATGCGATTTGCATTTCATGCCAATTTGAGTACATCAGCGATTGAAGGGGGTGAATAGGGTTATGCAAATCCGCCAATCCGTGCCTTTTTTCCGCCACATCCGTCGATCCACCAATATTTTTCTTCAAATCCGAAACCACAATCACATCCGGAAACAGAAGTATAAAAGTTCAAAAGTAACCTGGTAAATGTGAATGCCATTGTTAATTTCGCACAAATAGTAAAGAAAGCAGCATACTCGATGGCTATAACATAGTACAATTGCAATAACAGTCTCACACCTGAGTTTAAATAGGCTTCNGAATGCCATTGTTAATTTCGCACAAATAGTAAAGAAAGCAGCATACTCGATGGCTATAACATAGTACAATTGCAATAACAGTCTCACACCTGAGTTTAAATAGGCTTCGTTCAAAAAAAAAAAAAATAGTAATTTGGATGAACTCATTAACATACCGACTGAGGTTGAAGAAAGATCAATGATCCAAATTTCATTTAGGACCCCAGATCTGAACATCAAGATAGTCACAATCCGAAATCCGAGCCATAATTTACAGCTAATCTACAATCCACTGTGTTTTCAAAATCTGTGAATCCGCTCGATTTACCACAAAAATCCACAATCCGTAAGCTTTTTAAGGTGGCTGAACACAGTTTTCACGCGCGCTTTTGCTGATGCAATTGAGCGCGTACACAAGGATTGCAAAGAGCAATCATTTTATTCACTCAACACCCGCACTATCTGTGTTATTTTTTCTCTATTATTGAACGCAGTGTATTGATGGCTTTAGTCT